TTTGCTTGTTCTCTACTCTCATTTATCTCTCTACTAGTTCTATCATCACTAATCGGTTCCCTGACATTTCTCTCGTCCTCCTTTGTTTTATTTGAGGTTGAGAGTGGAACACTTTGCCTACTTTGTCTAGTACTCTCATTTTGGTCTACTTTTGATTCCACATTACTGCGAGAGGGGCTGACATCCTGCTTAGTGTCATTGTCAACTCGAGGAGTCAGGGTGGCCCGACTAGGGCTGACGTAAGTTTTCTTAGAACTGTCATCAACTTTTGGAGTTAGTTTTTCTCTCCCGGGGCTAACACTGACAGGTTTGTCTCCAGCAGGGGGTGAAATTTTACTCTGCCTGCTAGCCCTTTCTGTCTTCTTGTCTTTACGCGACCGCTGATGACGTTCCATTTCTTCTTCCTGGCTCCACTCTAACCTCCGCCATTTTGGATCATCCTCTTCATCATCCTGAATCTCTGGTTCTTTCAACTGAGCTTTCTTTCGCTCGCGCTCTAACCGCTGAGCTTCTCTTCGCTCAGCATCCATCTTTTTGAATGGATCCTCTTTCTTTTTAGACAATACCTGATTTTGTTTCCTTCTCTCCTCCTCAGCAATTTTACGCTCATCCTGAATGCGTTTTTGAAGTCTTTTCCTGGCACGTTCTTGTTCATCTTGAGCTGCCTTAGCCTTTTCCTCCTGTACTTTAAATTGAAGTTCTTTCTGTCTATTTTGATTATCTTTTTCATGGCGATTGTGTGACTTCTTCTTCACTTTATCAGTGTAAGAAGCATCCACTTTTTGATTGTCAACGTCATCCCTATAACTTTCGTCACTATCTCCTATTCCACTGTCTCGCTTCAAGTCTTCCTCATTATTATTATATGTATACTTTGTAATCACATTTCGATGTTTCTTTTTCTTATGATGCCTCTGCCATCCTGCCAGAAGATCCTGTACAGATTGTCTGTCATTATAATACTCCTCAATTATATCCTGCGCGTCTGAGAGCGGTATCATCTCTTGACTCGTCGCTATGAACACATCATCATCCCGAAAAAAATCCGAAACACCATTCACCTCCTTTCCCCGCAAAGAATACAACTTGACTATGCGCTGTCCCCGCCACCTTGATCCGAAAGATTCGGCAATGTCCCCCATTAACTGTTCATAAGACTGGACACTGCGGCGGTTGAGGAGAATCCTGACAGTAGTTCTGGGTCCCGGTGGTCCGTATCTTACCACAGTGATGACTTTGGGTTTCATGGGCACATTGTCATGGGACTGAAGCAGATAACTGGGCCGGGCATACCCCCCCTGAGCACCATACCCGACGGGAGGTGGGCCCACCCGTCCCCTGGGGTATGTCTGCCGCAAGCGGTTAGGCTGGAAGGCTCCGTGTGAATATACCCCAGGGTTGTCATAGCCAAAGTGGGAGTATATGTTCTGTTCTTTGGCTTGAGTACGACCTGAAATATTCAAAGTTACATGAAGTTTCTGATAATGTAATTAGAAATGATATATGAAAACTATGCCATATATATAAAAAATATTCAATTAGTTTAAGGTGGTTGTCATATAGTTTGTAATCCATACTTTCAAAAAGGTGACTTTTGCACTTACGAATAGGTCATTTTAGCAACAGTGACTGTTATCCTGCTTAAATAATTATTGGTTAACAACAAACAAATTAACTTATTGTATGTAAAACATTCAATAAAACAAATCTCAATTTCCTAAATCTAAAGGCATTAGCTAAAAATTAGAATAAGTTTACTTCAACCTGAATCTTAAAAAATTATTTGTAAACTCCTTATGCACTTGTTGCACCAAAACTATTTGTGTATCCTAAAGCCTTTTCAAAAAAAAAAAAAAAAATGCATTATTCCCAATGAATTCAAGTCACACCTGTAGGCAATTCTTATAGCATAGCAGATCAAATTTTTGAAAAAGTGCATTTTTTCCACATTTCATCCTCTAGAACAGCCATTTTTAGAAAGCACTCTTACACACACATTTGTTCATTCATGAGTCAGACTCCATAAAAACACCATTGTATGTGTTCATGCTGTTGTTTCTATGACAACCAAGTCTTACCTTTGACCTTTTTGGGCCTACCGCTTGCCCCTCGAACAGTTTTTCTATTCCCTACCACAAACAAATCATGCTGCTTGACTTCCATGTAAGCTCAAGTCTCTTCAGACAGGTAACACTACTTAAATTTTTGAGTAGCTTTTTTTAAATCTAAAATAATAGTATGCGTCAATCCCATAAAGTGATACTGAAATATTGATATGGTACATCCGTGGTTTTGAACTTCCCCATTCTGTCGATTCTGTTGTAATTTTGTCTACAAAGACAGAGCTAGCTTCTTCCGGTTGTCATTGTTACCATCACAACTTGATAAAAACTGCCATTTTGACTTAATTGATCTGACACATTAAGTCACACAAGGTGGTGTAATTATCTCCATTTTTCTCTGCCAGGAAATTCTTCACACTTCAGATGAACTGCCACTGCCTCACACGAACCCCTGTTTGGAAAACTTCCGTTTCAGCTTCATTAATATGGCAGCAAATAATCCTCAAGATGAGTTTAATCATATATCAGTGTCTTTCCTTTCTATCTGATGTTTTTGAAAGAAATAAACGTGGATTTTTATATTTGTTATCACCCTAATCCATATGCTTTTCTAATATACCAATACATTATACCTTCAAATCCTTCCAAAAGATTGTGAAATATGTCCAGTAACACAAAGAATCCAACCATGCAACCTCCAATTTAGCTAGATATCAAATAAGTTTAGCTTTCAATTTCAGTTCATTCCACTTTTCTTCATTAGCTTCCTTTTATAAACTAGTTAACTGGTTTCAAGTTGCTTATGAGAAATTCACGGATTCTGAACAAACTGGCAAGTAAAGGCAACATTACGATCCAAAGATCCACTGGCTTCATACTAATCTTCGAAAGGCAAGTAATCTGGAGGTTTAAGTCTCCTAAAAAACTCCGCTTTACCATACAGAAAGAGACTACCCTAGTCTAAATATATACAGTAAATACATGTAGACACCAAATGTCAAGGTATTAACAGGCAGTGGAGTATCCTATACTTGAAGCACAACTGGCCTTCGCTTTTCATTGTAAAGATTCCCTTCATTTTGTTAACGTCATGGTACCTACTGTGAAAAAAAGTTGACTCCAGGATATCCGTAATCCTCTCATGTCCCTTGTTGAACATGATGTTAAAATTATCTCTCTAAAATATCAGTCCACTGTTGACAGAGCCGCTGCCTGTCTGCATACTGTGCTATCTACTGGTAAATGTTCACAAGATAAAGGACATATTAAAACGTGTTCAACTTGGCTCCCCCGGGTTGACAATATCATAAAACTTCTTCCATCATGAAGAATCCAGGTAGAAGTATTTTTTCTTGTTATTTTTTAAAATTATTTTGTCAAAAAGTCCTGAGACCGTTGATTTCCTTTTAGGCTTTTTTTCCCATCTGTCCAAATGAGAGCTGAAATTTTAGGTCTTCACCCAACTTTCACCATGAGGTGTCTGTTCAGAAAAAGCTGAGACAAACTTTTTAATGCTGTGGCACTCAGCAGTAACTTTCACCTCGGCAAAAAGTCTAGGACTTTTTTTCCCTGAGACTGGAAGACGAGTCGGTGCTTGACCAAGACCACTGCCTCTGACCAAATGTCAGTGGTCAAGTGCTGTATTGATCCAAAATAACACCTGTGTGGTGGTCACCAAGGACTGAAAGGCCAGGGAATTGATTCCACACTTACATAAGTTATATAATTTAAGCTGTCAAATTTGTTCACCCATATACATTTTATCATCCTATGATCTCTTTATTCCTTTTATTTTGGGTTTTGGAATCTGCTTTATGTGGCGCTTAATTGACTTCCTATGATTGATGTAATTTTTTCACTTTCATATTGCATCACTTGTGGTTCTCTTTTTTCCCCCTAATCAACAACCTATCATTCCCTGTTGTTTCCTCAATTTATAAGTGATTACATCCCACATTACACTTTAAGTCATACATACCATTTACCTTTTTTATTTGCGGGGGAATGGGGTACTCATACAGTATTTCGTGCTGAGTGTAAACATCAATATATTTTTAAATATTTTTTTAAACAAAATTCTTCTTTTCAGTTGAAAACCAATAATAGTAATAATAATTGTGATGCTGATAATATTGAGTTTATAATTAAAAGTGTGACAACCACCTTTACGGAGAATATATGAAACGTGCAGCACCATTTATGAAAATACAAAGACCCGCAGTGGTTACTAAGAACAATTAATCAATAATCGGTTCTTGTTATTTCAAGAAGCTAAGACAATATTTAAGGTAAATATATATATTCAATATTTATGATCAAGTTAAACGCTTGGTCTAATTAATATAAAAGTAAACACAAGCTGTTGAAATAACCACGTGCCTTATTGATTAGTTATCACAATAAATTTGGTTGAATTATTTATTTTAAAATTATTTAATCTAATTGGGATTGGAATGTTCTGTGGTAACCAGAGGAGTTAATTACCAGTAAACTCTGTGTATCCATGACACCTGTGAAGTGAATGGCACTCATACCAGAAGTTTAATGTCACAGGTCATGCCAACCTTTGCTCTCAAATTCTGACCCAAACTATGAACCCTGCTCAACTTACTAGTAAACTAGTGCAAGTAAACCCTACCCCCTTCACCCCCCCGCCCCCCCCCCCCCCGGCCTCAATCACCCCCCTGGCCCTTGGTTACGGAATCAATGACTTCATAATTGTAACAGAAGCGCCATCTAGTGGTCGTCCACTGCCCCAGGCCACACTGATCTCCTCAGATCTCTTCATTAATTTTCTAACAGATGGAAAGATCGATCAATGAGTTCTTCAATGAGTGTCTGTTTTATTCTCCTCGACTCTCACATGGAAGTCTTTTTTCAAAAGGGCTTTTTGTCCATTATTATCAGAATTCAAAGCAGGTCACATAAAAACCAAGCAAACTCATTTTTAAGGGAGGGGGGAGGGCTTACTAAAAAGCCACAAGCTATCATTATCTATTGTATGTTGTGCTGAACTTTTTGCATCAATTAACCTACTAGTATGGATAAAAATTACCCAACAATAGTTCAATCTAAAAAGATTACAATTTACCTTACTTAGCTCTTTATTTACACATGGCAACTAAATTTTCCTTTCAACAGTCCACCCCAAGTAAAAGTACTGTTTGATCTACTTCATAATAACTGGTCATAAAGCACATGTAATTCTGTGTGCTAATTTCATACCACATGGTCCAAAAGTCAACACTGAATCTTGCAAAATTCACTTCCATCAGAAAACACCATGGCTTAAAAAAAACAACTTCATCACGTCCCCTCCTAGGGGAATGTGTTTTTCTTAGCCCATGGACAATATTTGCCAAGCATTTTACTGACAATATCACATAATAGTTGATACACCAAAAATAAAGTTGGGGTTGAGTTATAATAACCGCACTTGCTGGCTGTAGATATTACTTTCGATCAATATTTATTGTATATTTCACAATGACTTCTTTAAGTTGTCCTAAGTAAACGGAGGCTGAATATTGCTTAGAGATATCAAATTTGTTTATTGTGATTATTTTTGAAAAACTTCTATAAGTGGTAGTTAAGAACATGTGCACTTTGACAGGGACTTTTTCTTTACAGTCTTTTTTATAAGTACCATAATTTTATCACTAATAACAAACTATTTAAAGTAATTAAAAAATGGGGATTGACCTTGGGGAATGAGAAGTTGGGTCAGCCCTAAATATCTAGTTTAAATAATGTTTAGCAAAATTTAATGTAAACTATCATCAGAATCTGCCATTACTAAAATTTTTTTTAAAAAGTTAAAAACACATCCAAATTTCCTTTCATTTCCTTTAATACCATTGGTAACAAATCTTAAAATGCTGTATTTGTGAAGGATCTTTCTTCTCCCCCCCCCCCCCTTAACTCCCACACCCACTTTCCAATCAAGAGAAATAACGAACAGAATCAAGCTCAGCATTCTATTTTTGACAGGCAAACTCAATATCTTTAATCAACGTGTGTACATTTAAAACAAATCCAAACTCTTCATAACACTGGGATTATTGGGAAAGCATCGGCAGCAGTGTTACTGAGCTCTCCGTCAACACCTCCGGGGCCTCATGGCAAACAGAGCCTCGCTAATTACGCCCGGTGTGACCAAACACGATCAAACACTTACACCCCGTTACACCAACTTGCTGCCAAACAATCTCATTAATGCTACTCGGTGATGGGGCGAGGGATTAGGAGTTCAATATTTACCCAGGTACAACATGTGTGTGTATGTGTGTTCAGGGATAGCTGGCCTAATCCAGGCGTATTGATGACTTTGCTGAGATCTATAAAGCTGAACAGTGTTGTAACATTGAACAGAGCTTTAACTGTGTTATGTGTGAATGTGTTAGTATATAAACACACAAACACACACACTTTTCATGGGATATTATTAAATTGGAAAGGCTTTGATTCTTGACAGAAATTCACCTTTTTCCATCACATCTTTGAAAGAGTTCATGTTTTAGATCTACATTAAAAATACTGATAGCTGACATGAAGACCTTTTACTACTCTCAGTTTCATGCAACTAAAAAAAAAATAGAATGAGCTACTCTTTTAATTTTGATCCTGAAAACTAACAATAAATAGTTCATTTCCATGACGTGGAATTAAAACATAACATCTCACTTCTATGGAGGCACGCTCAGATGATAAGTCTTCAATTGGTTCTGAAAACAAGGTCAACAAACAAATCCCCACACCCTATATATGTCATTTCACCCGCTAACGATAACATTCATATCCACTGACAAAGGATCAACACCAATTAATGTGCGGAATCAACATTGTAACATAACAACCTCACCGTCACTGACGCTGGTCACTATTGGTTACTGGACACTTTTATTGACCACCATGAATTGGAGGACTGGGCCAGAGTTTTGTCTGATTGTTCGACTGATTTTGCTTGCTACAAAAGCAAATTAGTCATTCTAATCAAACATTTTGTGGAAAGAGAATAGTTGATGGAGGTACAGGGAAGGGGGTATGCTGCACCCTAATCAAATAAAATTTAATTGACAAACAAATATTTTTTGTGATGAATTACGTTGAAAAGTGACCTTCTTTTGGGTACATTGCAGCTGGTAAAGACTGAAATATGTAGTGAGTGTGGACGTTTAAACACGGTATGAAAATTGTGTGATACTGCGCCTGATCAATGTTTTACAAATGCCGCCTAAAAACACTTTTTTTCTTTTGTATTTTTTCTTAGACTAACTGTTTTACCATGTCTGCCTGCCTGACTATTGAAAAAAAAAAAACATTCAAACACATCATTCCTTCTTGCAAATACACCATATGTAGGAGTTGGTCATGCACGAGTTAAAAAAAGGGTGATAAAAAAATTATCAAAACAAAAACAAATGTCAAATGTTTAAGGCACTTCAAAATATTTTTTCAATCGTTCATTTCTATTTCCTGTTTTTTTTTAATGGTGTGTGTGTGTGTGTGTGTATGTGTGTGTGTGTGTGTGTGTGTGTGTCGGGGGGGTGGGGGGTGGACTTAATGTACTGTTTTAATATATATATATAACTACCAACAAGTCCACAGTACCAGAATCAATACTGGACAGCAGCTGCCAGTGAGGCATGCAGTCTGCTAGACATTGGCATCACTAAGCATCAGGAAACAACAGAAAGTGAAATTCTAGACAAATGTTTAAAAAAAAGATGGTAAGAACTGTTGACGCAGCATGCTGCTACTCACGTACTAGATCTTTGCGTCACTTACCTCAAAAAAACTCACCATTACTATGCAACTTATTTCTATCATTTCAAATAAAAGAGTCCTTCTTTCATTTTTAAGAAATCATTGAAAAACTTAATTATTTTAAAAATATTTTTACACTGAAAATTTTGGTCAACCTCAATTTGGGATGAATCCAAATAAATGAGTCTGCTTAAATAAAGTAGCAATTAGTCTACAACATAATCCTTTTCTTCCTTTTCATAAAACAAGTCTAAAAAAGTAATATTTCATATTAGTGGACTAGCTACTGGTTTATTTTGGGTCAAAGAAACCACATCCTCAATCAGTCCCCCCCCCCCCTGTTGTCACAATGACCTTAGTTTCGCTTCCAGCATTGGGGAAATTCAGAAACAAAGCAACTACTATCTACACTGACTCATTAACATCCTATTTTTCTGGAGCAGTACTTATGAAAGAAAGTACCAGCAGTGTGCTCTGGTCTGTAATCATAACAGCAATAATGTGCTGCAGTTCAAGATGGGAATAACGCCTCTTTGTTCGGTTAAACTTTTGAGGTCAAATGAAACCACCTTGGCCATTGTAAAGTGGATCTATTTGTTTGTTGTCCTAACTAGCTGCCCAATCTAAAATATGTTTGACTTTTGTTATGTTAAGACAGAAATCAAAATCAGAATTGCTGATGATGATGAAACAGATCCCTAGGGTAAGGAATATGAAATTGGAGGGGGGGGGGGGGGGCATTTTATGGTTCCTCAAGTGAAAAGTGTTCACAAGTATATAAAATTCACTTTCTTTACTCATAAATCCAAAATAAAGCACAAAAAGGCATACTAGACATTTATTCTATCTCCTCTCACTCATTTCTTCCATCTTGTCATTAAATTTTGTCTAACTCTAGATCAGTGGCCAAAAATTTATATACATTTCACACTCATCTCCTCACCACACAATTAGCTTTACCAATGGGGCCGGTCAATAATTGGCCCTCTTTCAGTTGTGCTTATCGAGTGAAAAACATGGTCTTTTTATGCGACTAATTGACGCCTAATCTTTAATTTTCTTTCCAATAATTCTGACGTCAGTAAACGGTCATTGGTATCCATTGGCATTCTTTAGGATAGCAGATATAAATAATCCACCAGCTTCAGTAAATGTTTGGCATCCCAATTTTAAGGCAAGTCGCCATCTAAGTTGGGTCTGCCTAACTGAGTACCATAGATTTCAGGAGAGGGTATAGTTATGATTAGTTCATCACTTTTAAAAAGCCTTTCAACTGAGAAGAGCTGAACCAAGTGTGGCCAATCCAATATGAGTGAAAACACGCCTTAATATTGACACTGAGCTTGTAACTGTGGCAAGTCATCCTGTATTCCCAGTAGAGATGGTATTTCCAGTTATCATGTCTGTCTAGTGTAAGCATACATACTTCATAACATGTACAAACAATGAGGGAATTAACAACTTGACCCCTTACACCTCTGGTCGCAAAACTAAAGGACGCTGTCAAACAAGATATTTTGGATCGAACGTTGGTCTTAACTTTAACACCAAAATCTTGGTTATGTCAAAGTAAATTTGGAGCACACCAATAAAATAGGGTGACTTTTGATTTGAAACAACAGCAAATTTTCCCTGATATAAATTAAAATCTTTCACATTTAAAGGAATTAACACTGATTTATCTTGGATCAAAGTTGACTGAATAGTTTGACTCCATCTTTGGTCTAAAATCTTCCTGTAAACCTGACCTCTGGTTCTTTGACTGGAAAAGAAAAAAAAAAAGATTTCCTGTTCTATCCATTTCTATAAACTAACCTGAATGCCATGTCTTCAGGTCTTCTTTCCCATATTTCATTGGTTTAAAAGTCTCAAATCCTCCACAGACATAGGACTCGCCATCCTTTAAGTCCTCGATGTCTCGAATCTTTTTACCGCCCCCTGGTGTGAAGATCTGCCGCACTCCATAAGGCAGCGATGTGAGTGTTGGCAATTTCTTCGTCAAATCATCGAGTAAATCTTGAAATGTAACATAACGATTTGGTGTAATGTACACTTTCTTCCCCTTGAAGAAACGATCGCCATTAGAGAAGAAGCGAATCTTGCGTGGCCTGCGTAGGGCTGTGTAACGGTCCTCCCCGATGTCGCGCTGCGTGTGGGACAGGCCGGCATCTTTCAGAGGCCGTCTCGCCATTGTTTCCGCCATTTGCCACGGCATGAGAATGTCCTGTAGCGTAGAATGCTGAGTTCAATGCTTTGGGTCTACATCTTGACTGTTAGACCCTTACGTTACTGCAAGTTTGGATTACAACATGCTCTCTTCTGCTTAGGGGCATCTGAAAAATAGTTCAAATATAGAACATTTACATTTATGATATATATTATGGATAAATTATCCATTTTGTAACCACTCATATACTAGTATCTACAACTAGTAAGCTACTCTTAATGACATTTGAATTAAAAAAGGTTTCTTACAATGAAGGCATTAATTTCTGCCAAAACTTAAGATTTTTTCAGCCAAATTTCTGGTCTACTTCAATAAGGCTAAAAGTCTAGTTATCCTTTAAAAATAATATGGTACATATTGGTTTTCAACAGGAGTCTTTTCTTCCTTGTTGTTGACAGGTCCACCATATTTCATTTTAAAACTTAACCCTGAATTAAATTTAGAGGGTCAAGACACATCTGAATTTTGGTCAAAATGTGTAGACCTACAGACCATTCTTCAGATTTTTTTTCCTGGGCTTCTGGTGCTAAGCTAAGAAGATTTTACAGGCTCAGTGAAAATGCTGCTTACAAATGGGCAGTAAAATGATACTGTTACAAGGGTTTTTATGCCCCTTAGATCACTGCCCCGGGTAATAACATGTGCTTTTTCAACGATAAATCTAAACCTGCATTTTTCTTGGTGCAAACTGAAAATCGTTCTTTTTTCTTCTTTTGAAGCATCAAAAGACTTTCACGAAGCCTCTAAACGTAATGTCAACCGCAGGAAAAAAAGCAGATGCACACATGTACAGGGCTTTAAGTTTGATCACTCACAGATAACACTCATTGGAATTATACTAATGCTAAACCACAATAACTCAAATTAAGAGAACATTTCTCCATATGTTGTCTTGCTGTTGAGTCCTAGGCCCAAAACTGCTGAAATCAGGAACCAATTTATAAAAACAATGGCTGAAACTAAGACATTACAACCACCGCTTCAACAAGATTAATACCGACCATTTTTTCACATAAACATGCGGTTAACAAGTGAAACCATGTCAGAGCACCAATAAAAACCAATCCGTTCATGTAAACAGACATAAAACCAATTGTATTACTATTTTTCCATGCTGGGGTTAAAACATTTTCAGGAATTTATGTAGATTCTTTTGCGAACAATAAAGCATTTTTTGGTGCTGGGTCTTATTAAGGAAAAGATGACCCTGTTAAAAAGAATGCTTTTCTAACTTAAATCTACTTGTGGATTTTAATTCTCTCTCTCTTTTTTTTCTTTCTATTTCACTTCATTCTGCAATTGTTTGCATTTTTCTTAGCAGAGATAACACTAAGTACTTGAACTACAAAGGTTACTACAAAAATAAGTCCTTTTCTTACTATATTCATTCCTCATATAATCAATGCAATGTTATACTAGCCAAGTATGTAGCAGCTTTTAAATAAATATTAGCCAATTGATAGTTCAGTTCAGGGTATCAAAATATCCTTTAAGAAAGTATGAAAAATGTATTGCTGAATGTCTTCTGAAAGTAAGAAACCCCTTTCAGCTGCTTTAATTTGCTAATGCACTTTGAGTCCAAGAATAACACAATATTTGCTCAATTCTATGAACAGTGAAATATTTTTATAGCGCTGAGTTAACACTGCCATATATTTGAAATAAATATATCAAAACATATTCACTGCCACACTGTAAGCTTCGTATTACTGCTGGTATCTCAATAGCAGAAATGGCAGATGAGTTTTTACAAGTATTTTGTTTCTGCAACTAAGGGAGGCAACTGACAACAGGAAGAGAATACTGTTTCATATCTATTATTTATATCTGCTACACGAAAGCACAAGGAAGACAAATGGTCCCTTCCGTGAAGCACTCCATTATCCAAAGGGTATACAACAAAAGCTCTGACTGTCACAGCAAATTTTACATTGCATGATTCTGTAAATTGATTCTGACGGAATAACATCCATTTTTATGGTCATGCTGGCTGTATCTGAATGTAAATAAAATGACCTTATGCCTTGGTCTGTCAATCATTCCTCCTCGAGATATGATTACGCTATTGATTTCACAGTTATGGCTGCCATGTGTTTTGATAAAGTTGCTAAGATACAACGTAAACAATAAATGTGTTTATTTGACAGTCTCTGCATATGGCAACTTGTAGTGTAGAATTTGCTGAATATATCCAACACTGTGTGTGTGTGTGTGTGTGTGTGTGTACGTGTGTGTGTGTATGTGTGTGTGTGTGTGTGTGTGCATGCCCGTGTGTGTGCGTTTGTAAAAACATAAGTAAAGATCAAAAGCTATTTCCCCTTGATGGGTTCAGGGTGTTTTCAGAAAAAAAAAAAAAAAAAAATTGACAGAAATGTGATATATAGCATTTTTATGTACTGCCAATATTAAGCTACACTGTAGCAGTTTTTATCAATTATGTTCCTTTTTTGTTCAAGGGAGAAGGGAGGTTTACTTGACATCAAATTGGATTTCTTTTAACAACATGATTGCCATTCTACAGGTAAAAAAAATACCTACCAGCATCTTAGTGTGCAAGACAGGTAGTTTTACAGGCACTTCTTGGCATTAAAAGTTCCCATACTGATAAAAGCAGGGATAAAGTCATTTGAAACTTCAAACAAGCTCATTGTAAATATAACCAAAGCTCACCTTTCAACATAATTCAAGACATATCAACATCAAACAATCGCGGCAGCCAGGTAACACAAACAACAGCAAAAAACTTAAAAGTTAATCTCCTTGTTCATACGCAAACCTTTCATCACGCAGTGTTTGTATTTTTTTTCTTTTTCTTTTTTTAAGAAACACTGTGAAGACATAAAGAGCTCTTGTCGTTTTAGTCGCATCACGTAATGCAGGATGAAAGGATTCGTCAAATACGTGTAAGGTAATCCCCGATACGTGAAAGATAATCTCAAGTTTAATTTGTCCTCAAATGTCAACTGCTACCTGTGGCAGGATCTGAAGTAACGCCACAAGTTTTTTATACACTTCTGTTGATACTAATAATAACTGACAGTTACGTGATTTATTGCAGTTTCTTACCAATGCTCTGTATAGAGGTTAATTAAATTTATAGAAAAACACAATAGTACATGGTGCACTGGTTTTCTATGAGACTGATTGTAGGCAATAACAGATCATACTGATCTGAACTCTTACATGCATACCTTTTTTGTGGAAGATTAGAGGGTGTGGGATTAGGCAAATAAAATTCATCCCATTCTGATATATTGTGAATTGAAATAAACATAGTTTCAAAACTTAATGGGAAATTTTCTTAGTCATTTCAGCCAACAGTTACATGATAATTTTCATTTTAAAAGCAAATACAAGCTTGATTTAAAAAAAAAATTAGTTTGAATGCTTTAAGCGTGAGAAGATGACCTCTTGGTCTGCTACAAATGACAAATGCGTAAATTGTTTGAACTGTTTATACCACTGCCTAATCTACCAGTAGATTTATCAGTATTACAAGTATTACAAGTCTCCTTCTGACAGAGATTGCAAATCAACAAAGAAATGCTCTCCATCTTTAACACAAATTAAATTAATATATGTTTTATTTGTTTATTATTTATTTATTTATTTGCTATATATTAGTACTTAGTAACATTTACTTCATCAGCCTTCCTATCACAGCAGGTGGTCAAAGATTCATTTTTTCTTTCCATAAATACAAGACGCTTTTCTTGGAACTGAAATTAAAATATATTTGCTTCTGCATTTGCCTAACTTTTCAGTAACAGTTCATTAATTAGAAAAGGAAACAGATGCATTTTAAAATCCATACAAACTTCTCTTTTTGTTTGCACTGCAAGACAGCACATTATAAAACAGTTGAAACATCAGCCCTCAAGACTAATGACGTTTTTCTAAGAATAGACTATTGAAAATTACTTTGCAGAAAACAAAACACATGTAATCAGCCTGTGCAAATGGAGACCAAAGTCTAATTTGTGCTTTAAATGTACTTTTAAAAGCTTTTTTTCTCCAAAAATCAAATGAAAAAGAAGATTGTAACTCCAAACAAACTAGATTGAATTTCTGCAAGCACCTGTTTTCTATTTTTACAATGTTTATCATTTTTAAAGAAAATTTCTTTGAATTTCAAAATATCATCAACAACAACAAAAATAAGAAAAAAATGCAAAATAATGCATTATCAGGGAACCACTTTTGTTATATCAAAATATCATTTTGCAAATTATTTCAAGTTATATTTATAATTAATAAACCAACTAAACTTTCTTCATTTCCATGAGGCAAAGCTGATATAGCACAGAAGAACACAGAAGCCAGGTTAGGAAATAGATGCTATCTGAACATTAACAGCCTCAGAAATATTATTTTATTTTTCACTGGCCTTGTATCATCCACATGGACGATGTCAAGAGTATTTGAACTGGCTCAATATCTACAAGCCTGATTATTTTTGAGCCCAAATGTTGACTTTACTTTACTATGTCTTTAATCCGGACAGAAGCCTTAATTCAATTTGCACTTAAGCCAACAGGAATCATTCTGAAGAAGGGAAAAAAGAGGCCTTTCAAGCTAACACTATATTTGACTGACTGACTGATGTTCTACTGATGCCTTTGCTTGACAAGTCCTGATGTTGTCACAAGTCCTCAAAACTCTCTCATATTTTCATATTCACTGGTCCAGTCATGAAAAATATATATTCTTATGACTAAGGTGTAATGGTAGTGGTTGTATAGAATAAAGGACGTGAGTCATGAATAATTCTGATGGGTAATTGCACTCTGTTTTGTATTATTTTAACACAGTATGCTAGGCAGTGCAAAGACTGCATCTAGACATGTATATATGTATACAATACTGCATTCCCCCCTCCCCCCCCCCCCCAACCTCCATACTGACAGATGTTGAGAGATTTTGCCAATCATAAACATTTTTTTCTCCTGAAAATTCCTGCCTGCTATAATTGGCAACAAAATCTACACAAGACGTCAGGAGCTCTGCCAGTGCAGTGTTGTGTTTACATGTACTAATACTCAAACTGTGCCTCGCATGACATTTCACCAAATGCTAAAATGATTGGAATCTGTTGAAAAAATGGAGGGATACAATTTTTCACTAATTTGGCTAACAACTAATAACTTGACCCCAATCAAAAAATGTTAAGCCACAGTGATACCAGGTATGAAAACTGTACTTCACAATGGTCAGTAAAATGTGAGTTTGTCCTTTACACTCTGAACTAATAAAAACTCTTTTTCCACACCACACCACCGCCCTAAAAAAAAAAAATCAGCCACAAGTCTTCACCTTTCTTCAAAGCACCAGAATGTTTAGACTCTACGTAAATTGAGCACTTAAAGCAAAAGGTTAATTGAGTACTTACAGCAAACCCTGAAGTGGAGAAATGCTATGACCACAGACCCAGCAGGTGCCCTCTATTAATAGACATATATGTTATGGTTTTAAGGAAACACTCTCCAGACCAAAGCAGAATAACAGACGGCCAAACCCAGCCCATAATGTAATTATGATATAACCAGTCGATACTGGGCAATGGCTATACGGACTGGACTGGTGGGAATAATCCGACTTCTGGGCAGTAATTTTCCAACATTTACTACCAGACACAGCTAAAGTAAAATATCTTGTGCAAAAAAATCCTGTGCAATAATTTACCTCTTTAAGAATCAGAATACTGTTTTATGGCAAGAGCACGATTCCAACATTGTGGAGAGTCAGCAGGAAATACTGCAATAATTTATTATGAAAAACCTGGAATTCCTAATGCATTGGCCGTCTTTGTTAAATATTATCTAATTCAATGCTTGTAATTTCGGTCATATGACACTGCATTTGAACGGTACAATATCTTAGGAAACACAAGAACTTCACTGCACAGCATTAAATACAATAATCTGCCGTCACTTTTCACTGTTTAAGCAAAGAACGAAAGCCTGTCAAAGTGCATGTGGTTTGAGGGCGGAAGAGGGGCACCTGTTTTAGCATGTGAGTAATCGTTTACACTTTCCCTGATAAAACACGGCCAAACTCTGCCATATCTAGCCCTGATATTAATCATACACGGAGATATGATACTCAAAAGAGTAAATTCGCTACTCACCGCGCCAAACTGTGGAAAATACTCCAGAAACGGTGACAAATCTTTCCTTGTCGTGAGCTCCTTTCCTGAGCAACGCATAAACAGAAGAGCAATATGGAGTCGGTGCCGGCCTCGTTCTGGCGCGCTGTTGGGCACGTTTATTTGCGCACCTTTTGTGTCACGTCCAGATACATATTCATGAGCTGCCATTGTTCCTAGCAACGGCGCTGGTATCCATTGATTCTGTGTGCTTATTATTGCGCTTGACTACACGCGCGTCAATCTCCGGCTCAACTGATCAAATACTCCAGCCTAAAGCTGAATGGGCCCTTTATTCTCGTACAATGCATTGCGGAAAATGGACGTATAACCTGAACGAGTTAAATTTGTCTAAATAGTCAGATCAGTTCGGAGTCGGTTTAAGTTCACAAGAATTTAACAAAGGGAAAGCACCGGATTTGGAGAGACAAAAAATAAAAAAAAAAAAAAGAAAGAAAA